ACACATTTCATTATATGGCATACGCCTGACTATCACACCTAGCCCAGCAAAGATGTGTGTGGATCAATCGCGTCGATGTGGATTCATCTGCAGTAGTCGGACACGGGAACGTTGCCGTGGGGTATTCGAACATAACATTCACGGATAAACAGAGTGCAGATATAACCTTCACACCCTGCCGGGTCTCAAGCAAATGTACATAACTCACTTCCAGGCGGACCAATTTGTACTGCCACCGGATATATATATATATCATCCAACAGTGGTTTGCGGTGCAAATAGCTGCACACATATATACACACGCAACGCCGTCCACTCGTGCACAGACACCGAGAGAGAGAGAGAAAAGCAAGTGCTTCTTGTGAACAGACAATTCTCATTTAATCATTGCAACCGAGATGTTTTTTTCTGTCCAAGGAACGGGACTTATAGCCAGTAGGAGGGGAACGAATTAATGCATGTGCATGTTGGATATAATAGCAATCAACACAACTATTACCAAACCGATTTCGAGTGTGTGTGTGTGTGTGTATCATGTGCTATTCCGACTTGTCTTCAACAAATCTTACGGGGATGGGCTTCGATAATATACGTGGTGGTCGTGTGGACTGAGAGGTCACCCGATGGGGATGGTTGTTGATTAGGTGGCAATGAGAGACGACGTGAGTCACTCCATGCACCGTGTCAAATGTTTCCATAGTTCTGATGGTTTGGGTATGAGCGGGGGTGGGGGGTGGGTGGGGTGAGGGAGGAGGGAACGAGTGGCAGGCCGGTGATGGAACGAGTGCTGTGGAATTAGTGACTGACAGTCACAAGAAGTGGATTTGTGCAGCACCCAAGCGCATACACACAATAAGAGACTTTTCAATCGAGAAATATCAATTATCATTATTATTATTATTATTATTATTATTATTATTATTATTATAAGGACCATTATTCTCCTTATAGGATTATTGGTGGGAGTGATACCATGTCATCGATGACAAATCAATCAAAGTTCAGCACACAGTATACGACCGAAACACGAAGTTTTGATTATCCAACAGAACCTTTCAAAACGTGCCAATGAGTGCCATAAAATAGTAAACCAAGCAAAAGTTAGAAAAAAGTATCTTTACGATGACATGCACAGAATTCGGATGCAGTGAAATTTTTTTTATAAAAAATAGTTGTTTAATCAATCGTGTGTTGATGATGGTGATGATGCTGCAAGTGATGTGGGAGAACAAGTGAACCTACCCGTATTTGAGAGGATACAGAATCGCGGTCAGGGCCTGACACGATTCCGTCAGACGATTGAGACTGCGAGAACACAACAGAACCTTTTGGTCGCTTAAGATGGCCGAGAACAGGAGAATCACATTGTGAATACCTGTGCGGAGGAGAGAGAATCAAGCAATTATCGAATTCCTGATTAAATACGTAGCCTCGTGCGTATACAATCCAGAACCTAGTGAGTACAAGTCGCGGTTGTGGTTAACCACCTTCAACGAAGCTAGCCAAAACAAACAACAACAATAACTAAGGGCTGTGATAGAATGTTTGTGGAAATGCTCACTTCAGCACGTATGCCAATGGACGTGGGGGNTATTCGGGAAGATACCAAATCATTCTTGAAACAAACAAAATGATCCAAATTAACAGTGCCCACCCGGTTGGATGAGGAACATTGACAAATGTTGACCGAAAATAGATGCGAACAGGTACACAACACAGTGACCTAAAGGTTTTATTCAGACCTGACTATCACAATTGCCTTGTGTGTGTGTGTGTGTGTCTGATAACATCTGTTTGGCTGCTATTCCTTTACAAAAAACAGATACAAG